ACCACCAGCCCACATCTTGCCTGAGTGTCTATGATGCTTTGGTTAGTCTACAGCTGGTGGGGACTCGGAGGTGTCCAACTCAATTATTGGCAAAGGCCAACCCGTTCATTTGCAAGACCGATTTCATAGCATCTTCTGGTAACATCCTGTCCTGGTTTCAGCTGAGAGGATTGATTTTTCTTCATAGTAGCTAGTGTGGGGATACGTTTTGGATTTGTGGTGGAGACAGCATTGATAATATAGAGATGTTTTTGTTCTATGGACTTATTGTTGAGCAGTGTTTACACGAGGCCAAGGCCTTTTCTGCTTCTTGCACTGCCCTGCCAGCGGGATGGCTGGGGGTGGACAAGAAGTTGGGAGGAGACACAGACAGGACAGCTGACCCAAACTGACCAAAGGGATATTCCATACTATATGACGTCATGCTCAGTTTATAACGAGCTTTGAGTGAGGGGGGGGGCGGCGGCATGCGGAGCAATGGCGTTTGTCTTTCCAATTAACCGTTACGCGTGACAGAGCCCTGCTTTCCTGGAGATGGCTGAACACCTGCCTGCCCATGGGAAGTGGTGAATGAATTCCTTGCTTTGCTTTGCTTGTGCACGCGGCTTTTGCTTTACCTGTTAAACTGTCTTTATCTCAACCCACGAGTTTTCTCACTTTAACTCTTCCAATTCTCTTCCCCATCCTGATGGGGGGGAGTGAACGAGCAGCTGCGTGGTGCTCAGCTGCCGGCTGGGGTAAAACCACGACACATCCCAATCACATTTCAACACTGTTTTGTCTTTCACAGCCTCCTTCCTTCTCTTCCTCCTTTGTTTCTCCAAGCAAGGACACCCATAAAAGCAAAACACATGCAGGACTGTGCACTTACTTCAGCTCCGTCTGCCCACAGGGCTTCTTCTTTGACAAGTTAATGAGCTCTTTGCCATATTTTTCTTCTATAATTGCCCTGTTGAGGAAAAAGGAAATGAGAGGAAGTTCTCATTTCAGAAACTGATACTTGTTTGCACCAGAGGCCAAGACCCGCTCTTAACACCCTTTCTTCTGACCTTCTGCAAACCAACTGTGGACAGTTGGCTGAAGAAAGACTGCTGTTTGCAGTTACCCAACAGCCTTTCTACTGAAAACACGTTGTTTTTCTGTGTCTGTGGTCCCAATGGGCTCTCCCCATCTCCCATGGCGTATGAGTGCAAGGACCACCTCCGCAGGAGATGGAGGACTAAGCACCCAGCACAGCTGGTGGCTAAATGCAGCCAAATAAGTCACCTGAGCAGTTTTCATCTCAGTTTCCTGTGAGAACAAGGCCGGTGTGATCACACATTTTCTACGTCTCAGCCATCAGCATCTGTTGATACATCCACACTAAGTACTTCTGAATCTGATTTGGCTGATTTAAACCAAATGTGAGAGAATGGAGACCTCAAAGACCACTCAGCCACCATACATGCACCCCAAAGCTCAGCTGGGCCATTTCAGCTCTTCAGAACTTTTTAAAATCAGGCAATAGGTACTCGCTTCTACTCACCTCTGGTCCTTAGGAGGAACCTAAGGGAGAAGAGGCCACATCTTGTGAGGTAACATAAAAAACACCTTTGAGAGATTGTATTGTCCTCCTCTCTTGGAAGAAAGAGGGGCAGCAGGGACGAAAGCCAATGTGTTGCCATCTAAGAACAACCAGCTTTCTGCAGTTGCTTTGTAATTTGTACAGACAATCAGGGCTGGACTTGCTTGGCCAAATGTATATATCTCCACCTAGGCAAGCCGCCCTAGCTGTCTGCAGTCAGTGGAGAAAAACAAGTACTGCTAGAGGCTTGCATTAGAAGGTCTACTGGATAAAATAAATACCTTCCTAAAATGCTTGTAGCTTGAATGCAGGTGCCTATGTCATTAATTTCTAGAGGTTGGCAGTGGGGTTCACCTAACTTAGCTCTTTAAAAACTCCAAAAGCTTGTATGGAAATGGAAGAAAATATTATAAATTGATTTTTTTTGGTCTATCTAACAATATTCCCATAAACTTCCTTTTCAGACAAAGCATCAAATCCAACAGGCATGTTCTCCATGGCTGGGACCATGTAACAGCTGTACTGTACATGAAGAACTGGGCCATGTTCAGAGAGGGGTGGCAGTAGCAAGTCCATGTCCAGCTTCTAATCTCCTCGTGCCTAGACACATCAGTGGGAACCTACACCTTCTTCAACAGCAAAGACGAATGGGGCACAGGGTGTGGAAGAGGCTTTTTGCACTCTCTCCATTGTCATAGCTGAGTGGGACACAGTTTTTAGGGTTCAGTGGATGGTTCCTCAAGCAGCTGGAAAGCCCAAATTTTCCTGGAACATGGAATTACAGCCTAGACAGATGTAGGTGCATGAGACACTTTTAACTCTAAGTTCTCGTCCTCCTCATCCCCATTACATTTGTTCCAGGCTGTTTTGTATCAAGTCTTGTATTCAGAGTTTTGTCTTCTCCATTTCTCAATACCAAAATAACATTAATTCAGTGTTGTTCTACAACGCCCTTCACATTTAGCCACTGCTAACCTGATCAACCACAAAGTCAGAATACACAGCCAGACTACCTCAGCTGTGCCTTTGTAGCCACAGAACCTCAACTTAGGTCATATCCTCTGATTAATAAATGCACTACCTAATGCTACTACTTCTTTTTAACATAAAATCTGTGGGCTGTCCATAATCCACAAAGACAAATTCAGGACAAAGTCACGCCTCTCCTATGCCAAGGTCTTCACCTGATCTGCAGGCCACCAACAGCTGCAAACACATCAGTACAGATGTCTGCCAACATGTAAGACTGAATTATTAAACTGCTCCTGATTCCTCTTTCTTTTTAACAGACAGTTCAAAGTGTGAGCATCAAGCCCTGGGCACCATTGCTGCCTCACAGCTGAGGATTCCCGGGCATGGACTTCATACCATAGCACCAGCCACACAAGGAAAGGACAGCGTAAGAAAACAAGTTCCTCATCAGTCAAAAATCAAAGGTGTTTTAACAGAGCAGACAGTTAAATGCGACAGAAACCAAACTGGGAATACAAGGAGTAGAAGTAGTGCCACGCTTCCCAGGTTCAACCCCGCCCATTTTCAGAGGCAGCTCCATACCTTTCCTTCAAAAAGTCTTCAAACTCTTTGCAGTTCTTCCTGCCGTCATTCAGATGTTGAATGATGCTGTCATAGCCCACTGTGCTCGTCAGATCTGTACTCTAAAAACACAAGAACAGGAGTCACGTCCTGGTCAGTGCAGTCCGTGGCGACTGCCACCTCCAGCGGCATTTGCACGAGCGATGGCTCAGCTGGGAGGAAGTGTGAAAGTGTCTCTTTATGAAATAAGATCTGTTCCTCTTAGGAGTGGGAGAGGCTCCAGAGTGACAACGGTGGCGGAAATTTGGGACAAGGCACTTTCATGACTTGAAGGACATCAAGCTGTTGGAGCAAGTTGCAGAGGAGGCCGCAAAGATGATCAGAGGGCTGGGGCACCTCTTCTGTGAGGACAGGCTGAGAGAGTTGGGGTTGTTCAGCCTGGAGAAGAGAAGGCTCCGGGGAGACCTTAGAGCACCTTCCAGTACCTGAAGGGGCTACAGAAAAGCTGGAGAGGTACTGGTGACAAGGGCATGGAGTGACACACAAGGGGTAATGGCCTTAAACTGAAAGAGGGGAGATTTCGATTAGATATAAGGAAGAAATATATGAATAATATATTCATATATTCACCTTCCCTGTGAGGGTGGTGAGGCCCTGGCACAGGTTGCCCAGAGAAGCTGTGGATGCCCCTGGATCCCTGGCAGTGTTCAAGGCCAGGTTGGATGGGGCTTTGGGCAGCCTGGGCTAGTGGAGGGCGTCCTTGCTCATGGCAGGGGGTTGGAACAAGATGATCTTTAAGGTCCCTTCCAACCCAAACCATTCTGTGATTTCTATGTTTTCTATGATTTTTAGAAAACAGAAGACTTCAGTCCTACAACATCCTATTGCTCCCCCCCTGGCCTAAGCACAGCTGGCCCCACAGCACACAGCATCTCCTCGTAGGAGCCTAGCTGTCAGGCTTAATGACAACTTAATGAAATCAAACACTAAAAATCCTCCAAATATCTAGATAGAGCCCATCTTACTACTGCTCCTCCCAGTTTCTGCATACATGGAGACGGATCTCAGTTAGCATTGGCCTGCACTATTCTGGGCATCACACTTACATCTGGCTGTAGGAGCCTACATCTGGGCTGGAGATGAATTTATCAGACCTTTCTGCATAGGATCACTGAGCTACAGGCTTCTCTTGCTGCCCTCACAGTAATATATGGATGCACCCAATGATCGCTGCTGCAACAGCCTTCTCTTTGGCCTTGCAAAAAGCAACACATCAATTCAAAACACCACTGCAAAGATAATTTCCCTAAGTACCAGGTCCTCCTCCACCATTGCTCTATCTCCAACCCACCACACAGGGCTAGCTTCTTCACTCCCCACAAAACATCACAGCCATGGAGAGGTCCTGCCTCCACCCATAGAGCCAAGTCCCATCTTCCAACCCAGGGCTCTCAGCCCCACAGTGCTGCTCACACTTCCCACAGACTTCTGAAGGATCAATGCTTTTCTTCGCATTACTTCTTAAAAAATATATATTGTACTGATGCTTATTAAAAAAAAGAAAAAAAAAAGAAAAAGAAAGATACATGCAATAATGATGTAGGTTAGGATGAAGGTTGACTAATTCTACCCCATTCTTTCCCCATACCCATACCTGGAAGCACCTTAGGACAAAAAAAATGGATTTTTGTCCTATGACTGTTGAGGATTTACCACCCTGGAGACTTGGGCCAAGACTAGGGCTCCTAAGTGCTGTGATAATACAAAGAGGTGATCTGACCATGAGCTCTCCTCTAGAAAAAGCCTGAAGCAGGTGCAGGGAGCTGAGCAGAAGGTGCTACCTGTGGTCTTCTGCAAAGAGGACCAGTCAGTGTTGCATAGAAGAGCAACATATGGGAGCAAAAAATATAAAGAAAGAGGCTGCAGAAAGGAAACAACAGTAGGAGCTGATATGAAACTCAGGGAAAGGAAGCAAAAGCCACAAACAGTTATTAAGAAACTTGAAAAGGAATAATGACAGAATGGAGAGATTTAGGAAATGGTTCAAAGCCAGGATGAGAGTATGCAGAAAACTGGTGTGAAAGTGTGGGCAGCAGAAGGGAAGATTTCTTGGGAGTTTGTACCTGGTGCAAGAAATGAGGAGGAACAGGGCTGGTATTTGTGATAATGAATTTAATTATGTGGACTTCCCTAAGGAGTCAAGGACTTGAATGTCACTGGCCAGAAAGCAAGAAGTGAAGCAGAGATCTGGTGGAGTGGGACCTGCAAGAAATCCCCAGGTATCCCAGATCAGCTTTGCTCCGTCCGTGGCATGCACGGGAAGAGAGGACTGTGGAGCACGACCTTCGCAGAAACCAAAAGAGTTTCTGTTTCTTTATAAAGCACAAACAAGCCTCCAAAAATGGGCTTATTACTGATAAACTCACAACCAGTTCTCAGTTTGTGTTGCGTCTTTGCTAACTGGGCCTGTGAAAAAGGAAACACGCTTGCACTGCCATCGGTCGTCATGACGGTTGCAAACCACAGGAACATCCTAACTTGACTTCCTATCCCTGGTTTTAAAGGAAATAAAATGAATGCGGAGAACAACTATGAGTTCCTGCAAGCCCGGGTAGGACAGAGCGGTCAGACCCACATCGCTGCGTGTCAGGGGGGCACCTGAAGGCTCCTGCATCCCGCTCTGCTGCCTGGGACACCTGGGCTCACTGCACCAGGCCACAGTGCCAGGGGAAAAATTGGGAGCATCCGCCAAAAATGTGCACTAAGCTCTTTATTTTATCGCTCTTCCTCCTCCAGTAGAAGGATTTAATTCCAGCACATACGCATTTCCTAAGCACCCAAGGCTGGACCAGACCTCGCAGTGCAAGGTGTTATACGAAACACAGGACGTAACGGAGATGGTAGAGGTTTCCAAAAGAGCTGCTTCCAGGCAGGAGGAGCTCCTGGCCCAGAAGAAGCCGAGCGGGGTTGTATGTCGTAAAACCAGCCTTCGCAACACCCTTCTGGGCAGATGTTGGCACAGAAAGTATTAAAAGGACCAGTGTGATTGCCCATGGGATGTCCCTAACACAGGGCTTGCAGGGAGCAATGAAAGAGGAAGGGCAACACAGAAGGACAGAGCCACGGGCGCAGAGGACAAGACTTAAAGACATAGTAAACTAAGCTAAAGACAGGTATGGAGGATGGGGAGTTGCACCAAGCCCCCACCAACCACAGGGATGCGGTGGGACGAGCATCTCTCCTCCCGCCTTGCAGCACGTGGCTGTGCTGGTCCTGCCCGCTGGGCAGAGCTCTGACCCCACGTGCTATTTAGAGGACAGTCCATGGAAACTACAAACAGATGATTTTGAGGTGACAAAGCAGCAGCTGATGTTTCTCAAGCCCGCAGGGCTCAGCAGGACGTGCCCCACCTTCCCAACCAGCTGCCTGGGTTTGTGCCATCCTCCTGATGGACTCACTGAGCAGAAGGAATTTGTGTGCTTGTTGTGATGCTTAGGGTTTGTTTGCGGTTTTAGCCAAAAGAAGGGCCAAAATGCCCTAGTGGGGATCAGAAGTCACGTTATGACCTTGTGTGAGTTGCAGCTGAAAGGAAAGCTGCTGAGCTTGACATTTCCATCTTCTACCCCACTTCACATGGAAAATACCCTCCAGACACACCCCCTACAAAGCCAATGCCATGGGAGAATCATGGAATCATTTAGATTGGAAAAGACCCTTAAGATCTTCAAGTCCAACCATTAATCTAGCAACATCTGCCAAGTCCACCACTAAACCATGTCCCTAAGCACCACAGCTACCCGTCTTTTAAATATCTCCAGGGATGGTGACTCCTCCACCTTTCTGGGCAGCCTGTTCCAATGCCTCACACCCCTTTCGGTGAAGGAATTTTTCCTAATATCCAATCTAAACCTCCCCTGGCGCAACTTGAGGCCATTTCCTCTTGTCCTGTTGCGTGTTCCTGGGGAGAAGAGACCAACACCCACCTGGCTACACCCTCCTTTCAGGGAGCTGCATAGAGCCGTCAGGTCTCCCCTCAGCCTCCTCTTCTCCAGGCTCAACACCCCCCGGTCCCTCAGCCGCTCCTCATCAGACTTGTGCTCCAGACCCTTCCCCACTCCATTGCCCTTCTCTGGACACGCTCCAGCACCTCAATGGCCTTCTGGTAGTGAGGGGCCCAACACTGAACCCAGCACTTGAGGTGCGGCCTCACAAGTGCTGAGCGCAGGGGGACGATCACTGCCCTGGTCCTGCTGGCCACACCATTCCTGATACCAGCCAGGATGCTGTTGGCCACCTGGGCACGCTGCTGGCTCATGTTCACTCAGCTGTTGACCAGCACCCCCAGGTCCTTTTCCAGCCACTCTGCCCCAAGCCTGTAGGGTTGCCTGGGGTTGTTGTGACCCAAGTGCAGGACCCAGCACTGAGCCTTGTTGAACCTCATACAGTTGGTCTTGGCCCATTGATCCAGCCTGTCCAGATCCCTCTGCAGAGCCTTCCTACCCTCAAGCAGTCTGTCCCAACCTTCTCAAAATGAAAGGTTTGGGGCATTGCACCACTCACACACCATCGCTTGAAAGATCTTTATTTATGCAGAGCTCTTAGTATCTCTCATCAATCTTTTCTGCTCAGAGAAACACAGCAGAAGCTGGATGTCTCTTTTAGTAGTCACAAACACCGTGCAACAATAAATGGCTGTGCTATTCTTGCTTGCCTCAAAATCATTTGGGGTCCTGCAGAGGTTACTGACACCAAGAAAAACTCTTGTGCTGGTGCCTGCAGGGACCAGGGTGAGGGAAGCTGGACATGCTGCAAGAGGCAGCAGTTCCTCCCCATCCCACAACCAGGAGGGTACAACAGGACAGACAAAACTCATCACAGGGAGGAAAAGGACTCGCTGCAAATCCACCCGCATGAGAACGGCACCCTGCAAAAAGCAGCTTTTCGATTAATAATTTTCCATTTGATGTTTCCTCCCCTCTGTGCCAGCACATCCACCCTCCTCATGCCAGAGACGTAGACAGCCAACGCACCATCCCATCTCAGATGCAATTATTTCTGCCCGCAAACCCCACCTTGTTTCCTTCAAACGATGACCTGAGGATTTCATAACGCTGCCGATAAA